TAGACTTCTCTAAAGCTTTCGACATGGTATGGCACGATGGGCTAATACAAAAACTTAAAAAAATAGGACTCAAAGGTCAGATAATAAACTACATCCAGAACTTCTTAAACAATCGTAAAATAACCGTGGGTATAGACCAAACTCTATCGGACCAATGTCCCCTAGAAAATGGTACTCCACAGGGCAGTATCCTCAGCCCCACCCTCTTCAATATAATGATAAACGATTTATTCGAGGGCCTATCCCCTAAAGTAAACACATCAAAATTCGCGGATGATGGGGCCATCTGGATCCGCACTAAAAGCATGAACATGGTCCAAAATTTACTCCAAAAATCTCTTAATAAAATACAACAATGGGCTGACAAATGGGGCTTCTCCCTTAACTAAGAAAAAACAACAGGAATAGTATTCAAACATATAAAAACATGAAACCCGCCTCCCCAATCCTCCAGCTAAACAATCAAACAATCAAATTTCAAAAACAAACCAAATTCTTAGGACTTATTTTCGATGAACATCTCACCTGGGATGCTAACATCCAAAACCTAACAACTAAATGCAGTAAAGACCTAAACACCCTAAGATGCCTAACTGGCTCTAACTGGGGAGCATCCAAAGATACCCTCCTCTCTCTCTACATATCACTAATTAGATCAAAACTAGACTACGGCTGCGCCATATACAATACCCTAAACAACTCTCTATCTAAAAAACTTGACTCAACACAATATCAGGCTCTCAAACTAATTACACGCACCCAACATGGCACCTCCTACACCTCACTTCAGGCCTTAACAGGAGAAATGCCACGAAGTCTACGCAGGGAACAGCTTAGCTTAAATTTCTGGGCCGCGTCCCAATCAAACCCTCTAATCCAAAACTTAATAAACCAAAACATCAGCCCCAAAAACCAAGCTCTAGCTCGTAAACACCCCTTACTTACCCCAATATCCCAAAGAATAACAAACTACCTAAATGAACACCAAATTAAAAATCTTAAACAAAACTGCAAACAATCAAATATCTTCACCCCTAAACTGAAAATACCCAAAATAGACACAACACTAGCTAGCTAAATAAATAAACAAACCGACCCAAACATAGCTTAAACTACCACACTAGCATACATACACGAAAATTGGCCAAACTGGTGTCACATTTACACGGACGGATCCTCAGATCCGAACTCCAAACACACAGGTTTCGGAGTCCATACCACAAAACCAACTAAAACCACACAATCCTTCCGACTCCCAAACAACCAATCAATATTCACGGCAAAACTAATGGGCATGGCCTCAGCCCTCCATAATCAAGAATAAAAAAAAAAAAAAAAAATCCTAATACTTACCGACTCCCTAAGTGGACTGCAAGCCCTCCAAAACAAAAATACCAAAAACCGACCTAATTAATAAATCAAATACTTAAAAGCTCCAACGACCTAACTAAGGCAGGCAAACAAATAACCTTCTTGTGGATACCCGCCCACGTAGGAATATACGGTAATGAAAACGCCGATAGAGCAGCTAAACTATCCCTCAAAATCCCAGAAATAAGCTTAAACTTACCCATCTCAAAATCAGAAATTAATAGTGTAAACAAGCAAAAAATCACAAAAAATGGCATAACCTATGTCTAAACTCAAATAGCCAAATCAAAAAAGTGCTCAGCAAACCACTAACCAAACCAAAAATTCTCCATCCATCCAAAAAAATTGCGACAGAGTAATCACTAAACTCCAAACAGGACACACCAACCTAAATAACCACCTAAAAAAAATTTAAAAACACACTACAGGTAACTGCCCACACTGCAAACAACCAGAAACCCCAGAACACGCACTCATCCACTGCACACACTACCTAACACATCGAACCGCATTACAAACCACCCTCAATCTAAACAAGGCTCTAACTCTAGAAGCAATACTAAACCCACAAAATAAACTAGAAAACTTCAAGGCCTTAGGCGTATTCTTAATAAAAACGGAACTAATAAAACGCATCTAAAAACACGATAACCTACCAAATCAAAATCACATAAACAAACAAACATCCACCATACCCAGCTCCCTTAGTTCTCCTCCCCAATCCCATCGGCATCTAATCCAAATCTCAAAATTCCCAAATTCTATATAAGCAACCCCTAAACCCCCCCTCTTGGGTTGCACAGACCACTTTCGCCCCTTTCGGAAACACATGAAATGGCCTGGCCGGGCCCGTGTGCGAAATACGCATCAGTCGGAAAGCGCATGTTAAATCTCCAAAGTAAGTAAGTAAAGTAAGTATGCATGGAATGTGGTACACTGCTCCTGATGGTTCTCGCTTCTGGCTGGATGGTGGTTTCCCTGTGGCTTTAATTTGTGTTCTGAATAGTATGACTTCTTTTGAAGACTACATCAATGTTGGCCTGTTTCATTAAGAGTCTCTGGATTTTGTGGCTAACTATTCCAAAGTAGGGGAGGCTGATTTCAAAGGGTGCAGACTGTTGACGAGGGGATTTCTGAGATTTCTGAGCCTCCAACTATCCACCTCAAGTCAAGAAAGGAATTGTGTCAACCCTCACAACATCTGTTCCACGAAGCAACATCTAACTACTGAACTAAGCCACCTCAAACAAGTATTTACACAGCATAACCACTATCCTGAGCAACTAGTACAACAGACGATAAAGAACATCACCATGTATTAAAGAAGTTGTTCATCCATAAATTCTTATCCTTACTGAGTACTCCAACTTCTAAATGCCTATCAAAGAAGTTGTTTTATTAGTCTTGAAAACGCCCAGTAGAGAATCTACCGGAGTGGCTCATCTGGTCCCGTAATACGATGCGGTATCTCGCTTCGGTTACCGTCTTCTCATTCTGCAACTAATTTATCTCGTACATTGGGAAGCCGAGATTCTCTGATACATCTCCACAATCCACATATCACACCCCTTCCTCCCCCGCAACTTTTCACTTGGTCACAAACTTTCGGAGATTGAAACATCGTCACTACGGTAATGTTTTGACAGCTGAGGATTTCCTGTACTAGACGACCTCGGGAATCCCCGATCCGAAAATAGCACCGTCAATTATTTTTAGCCAGCCAATCCAAACGGGATGACACAGCTCTCCACTCTCAGCCAATCAATCAGATTGCGGGCGATTGGAGATCAAGCCCTGTTATGGGAGAGAGTGAGATGTATCTTCTACTATTACGTATAACAATGGGTTAGAAAGATATCCAACGCTATATTCACGTCTTCAGTTGTGACTAATTGGATTAGGAGGTCCGACTTTGGTGAATGCTTGTCACTGAATTCTGAAGATGTTGTCATCTTAACCAATAACTTCCCTGTCAAAGATCCCAATCTTTACAGGTGGTCATGTTTAATTATTGCCATTGTCCTACAGCATCGTAGTTGCTCGAAAAACCGTCACTTTTGTGTATGGTCCAGATTAGACTATTTACAGAGCTCTGGCATATGGCATTGTTTGAAGGCTCACTGGAGACCTTGGCCAGGATGGCATTCTGAACTATGTATTATATTTAGAGCTTTATGACGCTAATAATGTTCTACACTTGACAAAGATTGCACATATTTCACATGAAAAGTCTGTTACCGAAATTCGTTATTTGTGTTTTACTCTCATAAATTGTGATGTGCAAGGACATAATTAAGCTGTGTTTTAGATCACGTTCGTGACTTTATTGATAAAGATTATCGTTAAAATTGTTAACAAGGTTTGGCCTCTAAGATTTTTTGGGGCACGGGTGGCCCAGTCGTCTCAGGCGCCGCGATTCGCTTTGCAGAGTTGCGTCCCTTGGGCACGCCAGAAACCTATGATTGTGGGTTCGAATCCCGGTTCGCCCTGATTATGTTTCTGGGCCTGTCAGCACCATACCCGTGCTCGTTTGTTTCACCGAAGTGGTAAACGTCTGAGACCTGCATCACTTCGGGCTTTCCTCCCACATTAAGCTGACACGCCGTGATGTTACTGGAATACTGTTAAAAGCGGCGTTAAACCCACCTCACTCACTCACTTACTCTAAGGTTTGAATAGTAGTCTCCCTTTGACTCTTAACGTCAACGAACGGTTGTAAGTGTCAATTTTATATGGATACCAGAGAGTGTAAACTTTTCGGCATGACAAATTCGTTAAGTTGTCTCCAGTTGCCGAATTCGGTCAGCAGAAAAAGCCTCGCCCAATATTTTTCTGCTAACCTAATATAACACCGTATACGGCAACTAAAGACACCATAACTAATAATATCCGCTGAAACAGATTCCATTTGGAGGCAAAATAACTGTTAAAATTATTTCAATACACCACTAAAAATCAGTAGTGACACCCATTCCATTAACATAATCAAATGAGTGAGTAAGTGAGTTGGGTTTAACGCCGCTTTTAACAATATTCCAGTTACATCAAGGCGTTAACATAATCAAAAGAAATATCTACCAAATGCAGAGTCCACTCTACAGTTACGACCATATCACGAGCATATGCCCATGGATCACTCTCAAATAGTGATGGAACCAGGTGTTCGCCAAAGGGTGAGAGTAGCCGTCACATCCAGTGGTACCCATCACAAATAGACGCAGAGGCAAGTCAACTGTTCACCACAAAACAACACGTGAACACAATTTAAGTCCGTGTCATTATATACATGAATATATGCGAACATTTGTGTTGAGGATCTTTGCGCCATTAAATGATAACATATTAAATGCATAATATTTTCCAAATATCCAATTTAATAGAATTTATACCAGTGCGTGAATGGGCGTGTTTTTAGAGTCTTGGCCGACATGATAGAGCTGGAGCTATACTGGATGCTCATGTAAAGGCTTTAATCAGTCATTGCTTAATTACTCCCGCACATCGATGTCTCAATGAGTTAATGATTTGTTAAACGCACTGTACGCAGATATACATTGCCAAATCACTCTGTCATGCAGTACAAAGGACTGCTGGTTTTCATTTTGTATGTACATACAACAAAACACACATTATGGAATGGTCAGCATGTAGATGTATTGACACAAGTACATATGATTAGCACCACCCGGGGCTCCAAGCGTCTCCATATTTTCTGGGATCAGATGCAGGATCCGTTTTGGGGTAATTGGCTGGCACCATCGTCTTCTTGTAGTCCTCAAACCGGGATCGCAACTTCGCCACCATGTCCGGCATCTGCTGTGCAAGGTCGTTGTGCTCAGTAGGATCCTCTGGATGGGTATCAGAATATTTGTAACTAAGCTTTTAGCTTAACAAACAATATGTGTTCATCTTGATGCAGCACTTGTTTTGCAAACATTGAGTGCTATTGGGGTATTATTCATTATCAACAGTATTCAGTGTGTGGATGATGATGTTGCTGCAATCATGTAGCAGTGGTCAGTTTTTGTTGTTGGTTGAATACCTGAAGTGACCCAGGTCTTTGAAAACCACAGGCATAGGTAGGTACTGCTAACTATTGTAATCACGAGATATATTGGCAGTTATACCCACAGCTGGCCATTGCAGCAGTAGATATCCGTGCTTAAAGGTATTGTGAACTTGAGATTTGGGAAGGTCATGAACGCTAATTCAAGTTGAGACAAACATGTGTGACAATGTGTACCTCGAATGTTGAAGAGGTGGATTGGTTGATCCCCTTTGGTGTAAACTGTCTTTTCATACTTGTCATCCTGGGTTCTGTTCATGGGTCTGTGCCAGCCATCGGGACCTCCAGGGTACCCCAGGATCAGCTTGTAGTCACCTACTCTGAATGTAGATACTGCAAATTGGTATTTCTTGGCTTTTCAGATCATGAATGTATTAGCGCAGAGGTATGTGATATTGCGTCTGAAATAGGTCATTGATGTAAATATGCAAAACGCAAATTACAAAATATAGACAAGAATGCAGACACATTTGTTATTGTGTAATCAGTGCTATTCCAAATAGGGCATGTGAATTACATCTGAGGTAGGTCGTTATATGAATATGCAAATCGCCTTACGATAGCAACTCAAACGTAAATTCACTCACTATATGCTGCTCAAGAAAACTCATTGGCAATGTCCTTTTAAGTTTCCTAGAACATGCAATCTGATTGGTTGACGATACGTTAATAGTACCTTATTCCAGCATGCCCTTCGACTGGAACTTCAAAGTCGTCAATGTTGTAAATGAACTCTGTCCTTTTAGACGGTAGGCCGTTTCGAATAGAATCCCAGTGACTCATTCCATCAATGGTAGTTTCTACGACCAACATACAATAATAGATGGTAAGAAATTCCTTTGTACCTTGCCGATGATGTTTCGAAGCAGTTTATTAATATAATAACACATTCAAACTGACTGATTCTGTCGATCAGTTGCAAATAAATCTTTCTTGATTATAATTCAGACCAACACCAGGGAAAATATATATGAGAATCCCCTTGCCTGGCGTTCCACCAGCAGCAGAGACTAAAGTCGGTTTCCAGTCGACAGCGTGGATCATCCTGTTCAGGGATTCACATATATAGGTTTAAATCCATCAAATATTGAATTCAGCATTTTAAATGGTTTGAGTATTTGGTTTTATGTACATAAAAATCAATGAGGGGAAGAAAAGGAAGGTCATTAAGGTCAATTTGTATAAACTATTATGCCATAACATTACTATAGTGACTTGAACATTGTTCTGGAAACACGAACGCTGATATACTGCATATGATATTTTCGTGTATTAATTGTTTTGCTTTGTTTTGGAGTTGTTTAACTCCAGAACAATATTCCAGCTATATGACGACGGTCTGTAAACATTCGAGTCTGAAAATCCAGCGATGACATGCATCAACCAAGACAGCGAGTCTGAACACCCGATCCTGTAAGCCGCCTCTTACGACACGCATGGCTTGCTGAAGACCTATTCTCATCCAGATCTTCAAGGGTATCCTGAATTCAAGTTCTGATACGGACTTTCACAGAGCCCTTAATCATTTATTGACTAACCATCTGTCTAAAATCTTACTTTATTGTGACACATCATCACTGTAACACTTTTCTCAAATAGGTTCATTGTGTTTAATCTGATCATGTTCTAATGAGTCACCCATCGTATGTCGTCCTTGTCTTCTGGAGCCCAGCACCATACATGAAGGATGCCCCCCTCGTACCCCCTTCCCAGATCGTGAACTTCCCACCTCTGAGGGGCCAGTTGTTGGCAGAACAATCGATAGGGCCACCATTCTGAATGAAGAAACTTTCATGTTTTTATTACAAGGGAGAATGGCATGACAACACTGCGCTTGCACGAATTCTAACAATCAAAATATACATGAACACACTGTATGGAAAATTTTTGGTCGTTGCCCTGTTTATACAAACATGCACATAGGTAACGGGTATTGTTCTTACACATTTTTCATGGGAAAAGTATAATGTGCCTAACATATTGAAGTGTATCTATACTCTACTATTACGTATAACAATGTGTTATAACAATCTCTAACGCTACATTCACGTCTTCAGTTGTGGATAATTGGATTAGGAGGTCCGACTTGGGTGATTGCTTGTCACTGAATTTTTAACGACGTGGTCATCTTAACCACTAACTGCCCTGCCAAAGATCCCGATCTTTACAGGTGGTCATGTTTAATTGTTGTCACTGTCCTACGGCATCGTAAAAAAATCCACTACAAGTGTGTATGGTCCAGACTAGACTATTTACAGATCTCTGGCATATAGGATTTGAAGGCTCACTGGAGACCTTGGACAGGTTGGCATTCTGAACTATGTATTATATTTTAAGAGCTAATAATGTTCTACACTTGACAAAGATTGCAGATGTCTGCAATAATTGTCAGCATATTTTCGTTATCTAAGAGGAATGTATGTCACAGTCGTTGTTTAATTTCTATGGCTCATTGTGAGAGAACTGATGTTTAAAACTGTTACATATCGATTCTAGCACGACACTAAAATATCATTCCCTTAATGTCATTAAATGTGTTAAACCGTTCCGACTTCAGTGATTAAGCCTAAACAAACTTGATTACGTCAAATACCAGAACATGTAGGTCGAGGTGAAGATAATGATATGCTTTATCGGTCTATTCTATGGAATTAAAGGTTTATATTTAGCCAGTTAGTAGCACAAAGTCTCAGTTCTGCTTAACAAGCAAACGTGATGGGGGTGCGAAAGTTCCTTGCCCTGTTCCTGTTTTTCTTATCGGAATCATCAGCACAGCGTCCTAACATCGTGTTTATTGTGGCTGATGACTTAGGTCAGTGTAGATAGTGAAGGCAATTACAAAGTGATTTAAAGTGAAGTATCTACTGAAACATGTCACTCTGATGTGTCTTATTTCAAAGTAGGGATATTGACAGTGGTGTATTGTGTGTAATTCTTCAAATTGAAAATTGTTCTATACAACCGAGTATCCATGGGAGACTGTGTGTTTGTACAGGCTGGAATGATGTTGGTTTCCGGAATCCCGACATGAAGACCCCAAACATCGACAAACTGGCCACTGAGGGAATCATCTTCGAAAATGCATATGTCCAGCCCCTGTGCAGCCCGTAAATATATGTTATGTCTTTAACCACAACCTCATAACTATGAATCAGGCGATTGACCATATACACATGTATATATTACTTGTTATAATTGTATTATTGCATAAATTGAAAATTTTCAACAGACATAACCTAAAGCTTACACATTCAAGAGATGGATCACATAAATTGCCCATGTATAATTGAAAATCAAATATTTAAAAAAAAAAAATGCGACAATCGCGGCTAATATTGGAGAGTGAACTGGGTAATGTGGTCAATTGCCTTAATGCCTAAGTTAGAAAGATCAACCGCGTCAAAGGTATCATTTGGTTGTCATCTTTTATTTGACCATGTCCACAGTGACATCCTTAAATTGCCGGAAACAGACAATGCGTTTAAATTGTACACAAGTATCACATTACACACATTGTTTCAGATCCCGTACCGCCTTTATGAGTGGAATGTATCCATTCCACGCAGGCATGCAGGTAAGTATGTCTTTGTTTTAACAAAAAAAGCCAGTGCACAGTATTCTATGAACTGCCTAGTTAAATTCCAAATTAAACGTTTTGCTTAAGTGAGAGAGAATGTTTTGATACATTGGCAATAATTCAGCCATATTGTGACTAAGAAAGATAATTCCTATATATGTTCAAAGACCTGTCAACAGTTAGCTGTAAAAATAACTAAAAGCACATAGCTGATTTTTATTTAACACTAATGTGAAATATAATTCTGAGATGTCCAGATCATTGAACAATAACGTAATGTGAATATTCCTAGTCACCATGGGGACCATGATATCTCTTCTACATCCAAGGTACCCATAGTGTTAAGGGATATACAAACATTCACATGTTGTGGTATATGTGAAAATAACCTTGCAAATGCTTGTTAAACCGATCAGGTAATCTCTTGGCAAGGCGAATGTATGTACTTCAATCTTTGTACATGTTCATAGTAAGTTATATTAAGATAATCCCGATGCCGTTGACCCTCGAGAGATCGTGTGAAATAAATTTTACAAAAAGAATCCATAAATATTAGGACGTACAAAAAAGCAGAGAGCAATATATTCAATGGATAGATCATATTCCAGTAGGACATCGCTGCAAGTTGTATTGACGTATACACCTTCAATGTTCACCTCCACACGCAGCATTTGACTTGCTGTTTACACAAACCACGACAATAAACTTTATGGTTTGTCAGATTTTAGTGTTTCCAAGAAGAATTATACTCTGTTCGCATGATTATTCTAATTAGAGGTTATTCAGGGATAATTAATTTGAAATTTTCGACTTATACTTATCTTATTTTCCGTTTCGCTATAACATGTTCCTGTTATGGTAAAATACATTTTTCAAGTGTGATAATATTCCTCACGAAAATGCCCATCTTTGCACTTTGAAAGGTGATAAGTGAATGTCTCTGTTGGTTGCACTAACCAACAGAGACATTCACTTATTACCTTTCAAAATTCTCTTGCCTGATTAAACTGTTTTCTATAAAATATATTTTTATATCTTCTCATTATAGTGATATCCTTCTGACATTTATGACATACACGTTAGTAACGATTACTTGTTCGGACAAACACAGAATGTAATATATCCACGCATGTAGTTGTTTTTGTTTTAGTTGTGGGTTTTATTTCCTCATGAGAAAGATACATATTGATATGCATGAGCACCAAAACATGCTTGTCGTAAGAGGCGACCAAATGATCCTGTTTATTTTAATGTCATCGTGTTCCAGTTGCATTGATCGAAGCTCATAATTTCAATCACTGGATTGTCTGGTCAAGAATCAGTTATTAACGCCGTCATATAGCTGAAATATTGCTGAGTGCGGCATATGGGCGCTAAACCAGTGAGTGAGTAATGTGAATAACGGGAGGACGTTCCCTATTTTGTGTACTTATTGTAATAACGTATGTTGGTATGACATTAAATGTATGCACATTTTACAGGAAGTAGATGGGAGAGTTCTTTTGTTCACGTTACGTAGCTGCGCTTATCTCACAATGACGCATTCAAATTCAGCATAGGACAGTGTTCCCTCAGCAGGCGGTGTGTGTGCCTCTCAACTATACATTCCTCCCCCAGGAATTAAAGAATCTCGGCTACGCTACGCACATGATCGGAAAGTGGGTATTATGCTACACTAAAGAAACCAAACAAAGATACACACGTAATGAATATAATATATACTGCAATAATAAAGCTATATTTGAGCTTTTAGACCAACCGTTGTCATTCTTCGATACATCAATGTATATAACATTCATCATTTCATATGTCATATTGTTTATTCAGTTGTCATTGTTAGATAGAGCAAAGTGCATATGTGATTATGATTAAGTTGCTTTCAGAAACTGTACACCCAATATGTGCGCTATCATTTCAGGTGGCACCTGGGCTTCTGCAAGTGGGAATGCACACCAACGTACCGAGGCTTCGATACTTACTTTGGTTTTTATAATGCGCATGAAGACTACTTCAATCACACTGCTAGTTCGTATGGGGGGCTTACATCTGGGACGTACTTAGACTACAGGGACAATAAGCTTCCTGCAAGAAACTATTCTGGAGAATATTCCGCTGTAAGTATGCAAAGCCGATTGACATGGAAGATATAGGGTCCTTAACTTCAGGTGTTAATTTTTAGACAATTAATGATTAATTTACAAATGCACACTTTCTGTGATATACTAGTATCTAAATCCTCGGGGAGATTTGAGCTGGCTCCATTGTGTACATTCATATTATCTTTCCAGTTCACATTCGCCCAGAGAGCCGTTGACATCATCAATCGTCATGATGTTTCACAGCCGCTGTTTATGTACCTCCCGTATCAGAACGTACATGCTCCTATTGAGGTACATTAAAACAACAGTGAAGAGAACGTGAACATGTTAAATTTCACCCATCTCTATCAGAGGCTGACTATGAAGTCAAGCAAGAGATAGGGAAATATAACCTATTTCCAACGAACCTAATCAGGATATATATTTAAAGCATTCCCGTGCGTTACAACGTAACATAACAGAACAATGACGTCACGTAACAATATCAAGGGAACAAGGGAATTAACCATTGAAATGAGTGATTTATGACGATGATATATTATTCAGAGGTTTACAACGTATATTTATTTGTTCACAATCCAAGATGCAGATTAGTATGATGTTCCTTTGTTAATGTGTGTACATAAATATTTGACATTGCAGGTGCCCAAGAAGTATGAGGATATGTATCCGAATGTGATCAACGAAGGGCGGAGAAAGTTCAGTGGTATGCAATTGAATGTTAGCATTTGTTATTCTTGACTTATTTTTCTCTGGTGTTGACGTTTTATATCATATTTAAACAATTGTCTCGGAAACCCTCATGTTCTGCTCCTCAGAAAGCATGTTTATCATTAATCCAATCAATTGTGTTTTGTGAGTCGTATTAGAGAGTTGTGCCCCTTATGCGGGTTAGGATCCTCTGATCGGGCGTCTGATGAAACGCCTGTTCTCTGTAGACTCGTTGACGCGCATAAAGGTCACACACAATGACACATCTCAAAGCACTACTTTCATTACTTACAGGAATGGTGTCTGCCCTGGATGAGGCAGTGGGTAATGTTACCCAGGCCCTAAAGGATCGGGGCTTGTTTGAAAATACTCTGATTCTTTTCACTGCAGATGTAAGTACTTGTTATACCAACATCGAGCAGAATTTTAATTAATTACGAATAATACTCGTATCTTGCACTCGTAGGGCATCTTTGTGTATTAAGATTAATCAGCTGGGAGTTCTCGCGATCTTTAACATTAAATATAGCTTGCCTAAAATCAATGACAGTAATTTTTAATGTCATTTTGCAATGGGTGGCGGGACGATATCTTTAGTTTCTTGTAAATAGCCACCAATCAGTTCAGTTCGTTTTCCCTTAAATGTCGGAATTTAGAAACTTTGGCAGACACCTTATTCATCTGTAAATATCCATGAATAACACAGGATCCATGGCTTAGACCTGTGTCCTCCTCAAGTTCAGCAATGGTAATACATCTATCTGACAGTATAGGTTTTTCTATCTCCTTGATTGAATCTTCATTGATGGAAGTTGAGGGACGTCCAGACCTAGGGTCATCATCAAGGCTTGTTCTCCCAGCATTGACATGCGGTCATGAATTTCGTGGGGAGTACTTTTTCTTAAATTAAAAAGGTTGATGACTGCTCGGTACTCGTTCTTTTCGATTTCTGTGTCCATTTGGAACTCTATCACGCTCAACTGGCGGTGACTGAAACGGCATCAACAGACCAAATATACTTGCAATGAACTACTCAAACAGTGTACTACATTGACAAGTTGAAAGTTATATAACTTACAACTTTTAGACCAGCCCTTGTCCATATTCTTATCATTGGGTATGTCTTTATCTGGATACGTACGTAATATTACACTGATAATCATGTCATTCTCCCCTGAAATAAAACATTGAACATTTAGAACGGAGGGCCCATCGAATGGTATGCCAACAACTGGCCCCTGAGAGGAGGGAAGCACACGATCTGGGAGGGTGGCACGAGGGGGACATCCTTCATGTATGGTGCTGGGCTCAAGAAAACAAGGACGACATACGATGGGTAACACCTAAGAGTACAATTTGAGCAAAGTCAGTAAAACAATTTTAGAAACGTGTTTTTGGGACGATGTTTAAAAGAAAAATAACTTATCGTAGTTAGTATTTCGACAGACAGGTGTTTCGCCAGTAAAACGCTAACGTTCTATATAATTCCGAAACGGAACACGAAGGCAGAAAAACATATTGTTACACAACTGTTATCTGACCATAGTAATTCCATTACATAAACGTGTATAAATAATTCTCCCTCAATGAAATACTCATTATCAATTATTTAGTACATAAATCAAAGCTAATTGAAATGGTGTTGGCAATGTTTGCCGGATTTAAACATGTGGCTTATTTGTAAGTGTGAATCGCTTCTATCTCTAAACAGGATGATCCACGCTGTCGACTGGAAGCACACCTTAGTGTCTGCTGCTGGTGGAACTCAAGGTAGGGAGATACTCATTCATATTTCCCCGACCACTGTCACACTTGTAATCATGAAAGATTATTTTGTAACTAAAAACAATCAGTCAGATGAATTTGAACGTGTCGTTAGTTTCATAAACTGTTTCGGGAAGTCAATGGAAAGGTACTACAAAACCTGTTCACTGCCTCTCATTTTATTTTGGGTACAGAAACTACAATAGATGGAATGAGTCACTGGGATTCTATTTCAAACGGTCTCCCGTCTAAAAGGACAGAGTTCATTTACAACATCGATGACTTTGAAGTTCCAGACGAAGGACACGCTGGAATAAGGTATTTGAAACATGTTGTCGACCGATGAGGCAAATTAAAAGGACACGGTGCATGAGCCTTCATGAACATGTTATCTGAATAGACGTTTGGTTTGCTAACCAAGGGCTATTTGCGTATTCCTACTTCAGTTGCAATGCCACATGCCCAGTTTAAGATAGCACTGATTAAGTCGTGTTCATTAAAACAAAAGAAATACCACTTGTAACTGTGTCTCTATTCTTGTGTACCAGAGTAGGCGACTACAAGCTGATCCTGGGGTTCCCTGGAGGTCCTGATGGCTGGCACAGACCCATGAATAGAACCCAGGATGACATATATGAAGAGACAGTTTACACCACAGGAGATGAACCAGTGCATCTCTTCAACATTCGAGGTACACACTGACATGTATGTCTGCACTTGATGAAGCGTTCATTACCTTCCTAAATCACCTTAGTGTACAATACACCGTACCTTTAAGCACGAATATACAGCTGCAGTGGCCAGCTGTGAGTTAAACCGATATTCCTTGTGATAAAATAGTGCGTAGTACATACCCACAATAAGACCTGACCACTGTTACATGACTGCAAGACGACTATGCCTTGTATTAAGAGGCGACTAACAGGATCGGGTGGTCAGGCTCGGTGACTTGGTTGATGTATGTCATCGTATCCAAATTGCATGGATCAAACAAACAAACAAACAAACATGACTGCAGCAACATCATCACTCATAGAATACTGTTAATAATTAATTCAAACCCAGCACTCTCAGCGTTTGCAAAATAAACAGCATCAAGATGAACGTGTAATGTTTGAAAACCAACAAAACTCTCTCCGAAATATTTACAAATATTCTGATACACATCCAGAGGATCCCACTGAGCACAACGACCTTGCACAACAGATGCCGGACATGGTGGCGTATTTACGTGCCCGGTTTGAGGACTACAAAAAGACGATGGTACCAGCCAACTTCCCCAACCCGGATCCTGCATCTGATCCGAGAAAGTTTGGAAACGCTTGGAGTCCCGGATGGTGCTAATCAGATGCAGTCCTGGCAATATATCTACATGTTGTTCAGCCCATAATATGTGCTATATTCTGTACCTACATGAAACATGAAAATCAGCTTTCCTTTGCATTTGTTTAAATAATTTTACATAGATGATATTGCCCATCGAACATTTTTGCGTTTCTTTTGGAGTTGAGCATATCTACAAATTGATTATTCATTATGTGTTTTATTCTATGCGTACATACAAAATCAGCATTGGTTTTACTCCACAATGGTTAAGGTAAAAGTATATCTACATATAGCGCTTTTAACTAATCTAAAACTGATTGAGACATTTATCTGCGCCACCGTCGAGCGCTATTCAGTCCATCACGTCGCTTGAGTTTAAGTGAGTGAGTGAGTGCTTTTAGCAATATTCCAGCAATATCACGGCGGGGGACACCAGAAATGGGCTTCACACATTGTACCCATGTCGGGAATCGAACCCGGGTTTTTGGCGTGACGAGCGAACGCTTTTACCACTAGGCTACCCGACCGCCCGGTTGAGTTTAAGAAGCTTAATGGAAATAAATTAATGATGCGAGGACAAAGGAATACTCTAATGGACAGTCTCACGTATTCGATACCTCACGATCTCCAATTTGGAAACAAGCTAAATATGCGTAATCGCGATCTCGCATTTCTTATAAACATTACTTTTTGTCAAGAATTCAATGTTTGGACATGATGTAAAAATCTCACGTTCTCGCACTCTCACGTTTTAGACGCTGCGTAAAAACATGAGATCTTTATAAGACCCATGGACATGCTTGAAGTCACCAAGAGAACATGAACTGAAACAAATCGTTCGAATCTATGCCGCAAACTGCATTGAACTGATTGTACAAGTCATCGTCTGTCCTGTGTAGAATCTAGTTGAGATGTATTAGACCATAAACATTACATTATCCTGACCCTGATTCAGAAAATATAATTATTCGTCAAAACTAGTGTATCCACATGTGACAGTTTAGGTCCAATTTGTAAAGTACATGTAGCTCAGATGAAGGAGGGTGAGATTTACCCTTCTCGAACTGGCATAATTAAATTATTCAATGTTAAGTATGGTATGCATTTGTATGACACTGGCACCCCACAAGGTAGTGGTATTAGCTCTATGCAAGTCATTATTATGAAAATGACTTTTTCACGGATATACAATGTTAATGTCAAGTAATTTCTAAATATTTTTTCATGTTATTAGTTTACAAATTTATATTGCATTATTGAAATAGAAGCGATAAAACCATTTTCATTATCAACAGAACTATCTGCTTAAATCAGGGCTCGTTGTTAGATTCCGACTGTATCATAAGCCTGTGTTTATATATCAGTATCAGTATTATCACCACTAGAACTGTTCGTGATTAGCTGTACTGCCTTTCGTCTGGTTACATACAGTATGTGACTCGGGAAGTTCCGGGGTAGAATAGGTCTGCAGCAACCCATGCTTGCCGTAAAAGGTGACTATGCTTGTCGTAAGAGGTGACTAACGGGATCGGGTGGTCAGGCTCGCTGACTTGGTTAATGCATGTCATCGTATCCCAATCGCGTGGATCGATGCTCATGGTGTCAATCACTGGATTGTCTGGTCCAGACACGATTATTTGACAGACCGCCGTCATATAGATGGAGTGCGGCGTTAAACAACAAACGAACAAACAAACAACATACAGTGTGTATGTCATAACCTTGTCACATCAGAGATAACAAGGTGTCTAGAGTAAGGTTGAGGTAACACCGAATATTAGACTCCTATCTGAGGTGATGAAAGGTGTATTCTGTGTACAGTGTCAATACGCATAAGTAAAAATTGTGTGAAGTTGAAGTTCAGTTATAAAATTCCAAGATACAGGTTTTTATAACCTTTTTACTCTTCATCTCATAACAAAGCCCCGGTTTCAGAACCAAGGAGCAGTAACTGGAGGTGCACAGAAATCAACTTAGCAGCAAGTTTCTGAATACTCAAATCAAAAAGGATCTTGCCATGTGCCCAATTAAAACAACAAAATACGTTCCATATTCATAAGAAATGTCGTCGGCTATATGCTGAGCATGTGTTTATGAATCAAATAGTGATGATACCAGGTGTTCGCGAAAGGGTGAGCGCATGCTGCCTCAAAATCACAATCATCAACAATATCATTCGGTGAATTATAGGTGTTTTTTAGATATCAGTTTTAAATGATATTTGAAAGGCATGAGTTCGTGGCGAAGGCCTAGAGGCATTTCTACGCATTAAACCTGGAGCGCCGAACCTGGGATAGTCGCAAAGGCAACCGTGAAAACACGCAAATCCTTTGACTGAATGCGGTAAAATTTAGAACGATGACAGTCATAGTCAAGCCTTGACTATAATAATATTAATGCTTTATAAATCAATAACACTGAGGATTTATCAGCCCCCCCAAAAAAACAACAACAAAAAAACATCAACAAAATGGTTCATCAACAGCAAACTGTGCGCCATCTGCTTTTAATCGTAAATCTGTGAAAAAGTCATTTTCATAATAATGACTTGCAAAGAGCTAATAACACTACCTTGTGGGGTGCCAGTGTCATACAAATGCATATCAGAAAGTCCTGTTCGATGTGAATAGAACCTTCAAATAGAAACAAGCGAATTTATCTGAACATGCTATCTTGTCTCCACATATTGTGTAATTTGAAAATAAGTCCTTGTTTCTATATGCTTTCCCAATATCAAGGAAGATATATAACACGTACGCTTGATTTACTTTTGCACCGCGATAGCACGTAGCCAAACTGTTGAAGTTGTGACACGTAATTGTTTGTGGTATATAAGGCCGACATGAAGTGACTGAACATACATATTTATTCGAGGGCACGGGTGGCCCTGTCGTCTAAAGCGACGCGATTCGCTGTGCAGAGTTGCGTCCCCTGGGCGGGCCAGAAACCTATGATTGATGGTTCGAATCCCGGTTCGTCCCGATTATGTTTCTAGGTTTGCCCGCACCATACTCGTGCTCGTGGGTTTCACCGAAGTGGTAAACGTCCGAGACCAGCATCACTGCGGGCTTTTCTCCCATATTAAGCTGTCCCGCCGCGATAAAGCTGGAATACTGTTAAAAGCGGCGTTCAACCCAACTCAATCACATATTTATGCGATCAGGAAGATTAGGAGTGTCAACTGTCTACAAAATAGAAATAGTGATTTCTTGTTCTTTCCCCTTCAAAAAACGCCAAGCATGAATGATGTTTTTACTTTATATCGATCAACTATTTCATATATATCCATATCACAGTCAACGTTATATGTCACCCCTTTGCTTTGAACATAAGCCCTGAAATGGATGTCACAAATCGTGAATACGTCCAGAGCCAACTTCAACTGATCAAAGGGGCGGTTGGGTAGCCTAGTGTTTAAAGCGTTCGCTCGTCACGCCGAAAACCCGGGTTCGATTCCCGACATGGGTACAATATGTGAAGCCCATTTCTGGTGTACCCCGCCGTGATATTGCTGGAATATTGCTAAAAGCAGCGTAAAGCCATACTCACTCACTCATTCAAATGATCAAAAGATTTCCAATGAGTCACTAAGTCACCATTCTGATTTATTTTCATGAAATCGACATCAACATCTCGACCCAAAGAAAATGGAAACCTATGAAGTCTTTATCTCGGGTCAAAAATATAACCACAAATCATATTGGAACATTAGAAACGGAACTCGTTTCATATGAAGTGATATATTGCTGCTTGCATGGTTCACCAATATTATTGTAATTTTGAGAAAACTTTTCGCTATCCATTTTAGAGGTTTCATCAGTCAGTTAGAATAACTTACCTTACTTTCGTCCTTGACTTTTTACGCCATGTTTTTACGCAACGGCGCATTCGCGAGAAGACGATTTCAAGCAAGAATAGTAAAGTATCTTTCTCACATTATTTTAATTCTAATAGTGAGTGAGTGAGTGAGTATGGTTTTACGCCGCTTTCAGCAATATTCCAGCAATAAACGGCGGGGGACACCAGAAATGGGCTTCACACATTGTACCCATGTCGGGAATCGTAATTCTAATAGCTATAGTGTAGTAACACTATATTTAACATTTTCTTTTCGAAAAATGTCTTTAATGTGACACACATATGCTACAAAGAAAAGCATCAACGACGAGAGTGAGTACGGTTTTACGCCGCTTTTAGCAATATTCCAGCAATATCACGGCGGGGGACAGCAGAAATGAAACATTGAACTCATGTGGAGACTAGAATCTAGCTAGTCTTCAACTTCAAAGTAATGCCTATCAAACGATTCTTTAACCACTAGGCTACCCCATCGCCCCGTACGACACTAGAGATTGGGTTGATGGTTACAATGCTCGTACACTTGGTGTTTGACATCTAACGTACCAAGAGGGCTATTGAGCTCACTCAATGGGCATGGCCTGGGGAACAAATCCTGATCACGTAGCAACAGTAGGCGAATACATGTACTTAGAAGGTAAACATTATGCGTTTTCCGATTTTTCTGAGTATTCGATGCCCAGAAATACTAAAACACAAAATGTTTTTCGACAACGTGGAATAGAAACATTATCAGTCCGGACTTTTCCCCTGTTGTAAACACTTATTCTGAAATCTGAGCAGGACCGGCTAATGGAAGGCTTTGAAAACAAACGTAAATAACCAAGTTCCTCAATATTTTCTCAAAGGAAGTTAACCATTTCACGACCTATGTTTCTCTAAATGGGTCTCAAGACTCTCTGGTCTGTGGCATAAGTACGGAGATGACCGCAAACAACGCTGGGTTGGAGAGAGTGAACCCGCCTTTTCGAATGTGAAAAACTAAATCCAACTTGTTCTGACAAAGTAGACACAATTTATGGATAACAACTTCTTTAATTACTGTAAAGGCGATGTTATGATATATATTCTTATACCGTTGTCAATCAAGGCTGTTTTTGGTATTGATCGAAACTAAGATTTAATAAACGCGATAAACATTTCACCAGGGGCGGTCGGGTAGACTAGTGGTTAAAGCGTTCGTTCGTCACGCCGAAAACCCGGGTTCTATTTCCGACATGGGTACAATGTGTAGACACATTTCTGGTGTCCCCCGCCGTGATAGTGCTGGAATATTGCTAAAAGCGGC